CTGGTTCGTTTGGCGACACGGATTTCTTGCCGGCATTGATTGTGCGACTCATGGTAGTGACGGAGAGCGTCATCGCGATCGCTTTACACGGCGAAGTGCTTTACGCCGGGCTTTAACGGCTTTCCTCGTATCTTCATTCCACCAGCGTAGCGCTTTTCGCCCCGGAACGCTGCTGGTCTTTGGAATGGTTGCTGTTGCTGCTTCGTATACCACTTCTGAAAAGTCTTCAATGCTGTTCGGATTACGCTGTAGTAACAAGGACTGAAAGGCTTCACCATAGCTATCCCAGTCCGCTTGTTCATAGCGCCATCGGGGCCTCCGTGTTGTCATCGGAGAGATGGCGGTCGAAATTTGAACTTTGATGGGGTAGTGGTCACTACCATAGAGATCAGTGTTCGCGCTCCACTGAGTTTTTCCGGCAAAGCAGCGGCTGACAGCAGTGACGTACGTGGGCACACCGTCATTCAGAATCACCATATCTTCCTTCTCGAAAATATCGACCAGGGGAAGGTCGGAGCGGGGGCTGCCCCAGCTTGGGTGGTGCCCGTTCAGATCCCCAACCAGGATGCGCAGTTCCGGTAGTTTAGCTATGGCTTCGCTGAGTTGATCGTGCAGGTTTGGCAGCCGTCCGCATGGCAGGTATGCACATGCGACGGAGATGTTCGCCGGTGCCGCCAGCTGGACACCAAGTATGGGAAGCTCGGAGTCCATATCGACAACCTGGAAAGGTATCGTCTTCAAAACCCCGATGGCCACGGAGTGCCGGAAGTTGTTTCCCCGTTTAGCTGTCCACGTATACTTACCGCCTAGAGAGCGGTCCATTTGGTCGGTTGTCGCTTTGTTAGTTTCCTGGAGTGTAATGACCCAGGGGGGATCGTCGTGGCAAAGGAGCTCTAGATCACCAATGTGGTTCAGGAACCCGTTAATGTTCCACTGCAGGGTAAAGTTTACTGGCTTAGGCAACGTAGGAGTGGGGTACGAGCGCGCTGTGATTGTGGAGCTAGTGTCATCGCGAATGTGAATGCCACTCTGGTCGACGGGTAGATCTATATCGTAGGTGTCCGATCCATCGTGATAGTCGGAGCCAGCTGACAGATTGATGTTGTATGCTGAATGAGACAGAGCCCCACCAAGGGCAGGTGTAGAAGTTCCACCCACCCAGGGCAGGGATGACCCAACAGAGAGAGAAGAGGTATTACATGATGGCGTACTGGGTTTGGCAGCTTCGGTCGTTGTTATAACAGCGTGTTCGAGTCCCTCGAAGTCCTTCGGGGAATGGGTCGATGAGCCCTTGTCCGTCCCGATACTTGAAGCAGACTTGACTCCCTCTTCGTCCATAGGGGGATGAGCGTTTCCGCCCTTGTGCGTCCCTCTTCCAGACATCCCCCGGCGAAGGGGGGTTATCGTCAGTTCCGGTGTGGAAATGGCGTCCGCACCGACGGGGCCCCAACTACTGGGGGCTATCGCTGGGCTCTTCTTCGGTTATGACGTCCGCACTGCCGGTGCCCTGCGTGCCCGAAGCACTCGTTAATTCGACTGGTTGGCTCGGGCGCCGAGGGGTGTCCGAAGATTCCGGTTGGGGTATAGCTTCCGGTTCAACGGTGCCCCGGCTACCCGAGGCCAAAAACAGGCACGGTTGACGGTGGCTGGCAGTTGATGGAGGTGTTGAGGTGACCATTAGAGTTGTCAAGGTGAATAGCGAGGGTCGAGGTGCCGTTGAAAGTAGTCAGCGTATAACGTACTACTTCCACTTTTTTTTTCATTTGCGTGGCTTTTTCCGGAGAGACTGGCGAGGTACGGGCAAGAGTCGATCTTTGGATTTTGGGAGCTTGGGCCATGCGAGGGGGGTGACCAGGAGGGTCTAGCTGGCTGATGGGTCGCTTCGATGATTGCGGTGTTGAGGGCTGTTCAATGGATGTAGCGGGAGTCGATGGCATGGGGGATCTTATTTGCGGCTGATTTTTAGGTTTGGGCTGTTTTCTGGCGTGATGGTGGCATCGCTGCTGGATCCCGACGAGATCGAGCCATCACTTAAGACGGTGATGGAATCGTCTGCTCTCTCGGGAGCTTTCTGCGACACGGGCTGAACTTTCTCCGGGGTGGTCCGCGAAGGTAATGACGGGGCTGAAGGTAGGACGACGGTCGGCTCGAGGACGGTCCTTGTGGGGATCTGTATGGTAGATTCCAGCTGCTGTACTTTCTGTTGCGTCTGTATCATGACGGTCATCATGGTCTGGACCATGGACTCAAAATGTTTGGCTTGTCTCTTCATCATCGCCTCAATCGCGTTCAAAGACGGATTGACTGAGGCAGCGCTAACTGCGGCGGCAGCGGCAGTGTTTCCAGAACCATTCAACTGGAGTGCGACTTGCAGCTGGGCGATAATAGTGTCCTTTTCTTTGACCGTGTTCGCCAGCTCATCGATTTTCCGACTCATTTCGAGGAGGGCGTTTTGCGTGCTTGCGTTTGTGACATTGGCAAAGGAGTTGCCTCCGTTGCGTTGTTCGTACATTTTCCTTGCGTCCGGATACGAAAGACCTCTGTCCACCTTGATGCGTTGAATTTCATTCTCCCGTTTATAACTCGGGCAGGAGCGATTAGACAGTCCGTGGTTGTCTGCTTTGCAGCTACTGCAGAAGGGTTTCTGGGGACAGGGACGGTCATTGGCGATCGGATGATCACCCGGGCAATTCCCACAAATTGCTTTTGCAACTCTACACCGGAGCTTGGTATGGCCGAACGCCCAGCAGTTGCAGCACTGCATGGGCGACGGATAGTACGGACGAGTTCGACACCGCGTGTACCCTATGTCTATGTATTCAGGTGCACACGTGCCGATGAGGGTCGCCGTGTTGACCCGACCTGATCCGTCCCGTCGTGTGATACGGCGCACTTCTTTTACGCCTTGATCGCTGAAGTCAGCAACAAGGTCTTGTTCTGTCTCGAGGATGGAGAGCGGCAGCCGCAAACCGAGTATTGTGGCGTACTATTGTTGATTATGTCTGATCTTAAATGTGATGTTGTACAAATAAATGTATGTATGTTAGATTTATAACTATAAAGTTTCATAATATGAAAGCTCCAGGCGATGATGGAATTTTCCATTTGGCATACTTTCCTGATAAATGGAAAAATGCAAAAGTTGTTCCAATTTTGAATCCGGATAAGATATTTGAATAAAATGATGCCTTACGTCAATACGAACTCAATTTTTGCAGATGTGTAGTTTGGATTTCGCTATGGGCATTCAGCTATTCATCAACTCCTAAGAGTTACCAATTCAATTTGTTCAAACAAATCTGAAGGCTGCTCAACTGGAGTTGGAGTTGTTCCAGACATAGAACAAGTATTCGACAGTGTTCGGCATGAAGGTTTGATTGCCAACTTGATTTTTTTTTATTATTTAACTGACAGAACTCTGCAGGAAAGTTAACAAAATTTCAAATCTGATATTTTCCTTTCTATTTTAGAGAGACCCTCAACACACTTACCTAAGGGTTGCGTCGGGGCAACTTTCTGCATCTCTTTGCATTTTCGGAACAGAGTCTGAATTTCGGGTCATTGGTAGAGATTGCATCGAATTAGACAATGAGACTTATTAGCGTCTTATTAGCTTTTCAAATGATCCCGGTGAAAAGCAATTTCTCATAACAAATGCGATCATTTTGAGAAACCGCTCTACCCACGGCGCAGTTCATTTTCGTTTTTGGCAAACAGCTATTGTCTTCTAAAAAAAAAAACCCCTCGATTGATGTCATAACTTGCACGACTTTGCCACAGACTCCTTCCCTCATTGGTGGTGTTGAATGTGCATCGTTTATTTAAGATACGCTCTTTTTGCAGAAAGTAACAATACTGTCACCGGCTGAGTGGCTAGCTGCAGGCCGCTGAGCGTATAGTAAAAGTAGGTTAACGACGCACAATGCCCTCATGGGAAACGACGAGATCAACGAAAGCCTCGAAACCGGCCAGCTTGGTGACATAGGTACCTACGTAATTCGGCTAAAATTTCGGTGACACAATCGGGAAAAATTCATTAACTCAAATGGTACGTACTTTCCAGTAAAAGTGAGTGCGCTGCAAGATTGCTGGGCGGTTTGCAACTTTTACTACAAAACAATCGACGTCGGTCGGTTGCAAAGTGAGTTAGAAAATCATTACATATCATCAACATGTTGATGAAGTCTATGGCCACTTTGCGCAATTCAATTAACCCCTGGTCGGCGGACCAGGTGGAGGGCGATTAATGGACGGCTGCTGCTCCTTCGCCGGTTACATTATGGGCAAATATGAGGAAAAAGAGGCCTAGCAGTGTACGTACTTAAACTGCATGTATTTACACCTCGGTTTTTTGTTTTCTGGCCAATGTACGCCTCCATTTCGCACACGGCGCTGGTGGTGGTCTTCAGTGCATTACGATTGTGGTTCTGTGTGTCAGGGGGTTGAAAAGGCATTTCTCGAGCAAATTTGAGTCATGTTTGAGTTACTTTTAGTAGCCGTCCATTAAAATACTTTCAAATCGTATCACACCGCTGTGGGCTGCCCCGTTTTTTGCTGTAGATTCGAACTTCTTGTCAGGGTTGTTCCCTCTGAATGCAGATGGCTGTTTGAAGCCAATTCGATTCAAATTCGGTGGAAGGTGAGAGCCATTAGCACCACCGCACCTGTCGTGTGCCAACAGACCCTCGAGTTGGTTCCTTGCTTGATGCTGGAACTAAGCTCTCTATTATACAATCTGAAGGTTCCGACTCAGTGTTTAATTTTTCGGTGGACAGCGACAAAAACAAGCTATGCTTCTTGCCACAAAGCCACCAAGCCGGATGGAACGAAAATAAACAAATTTTACCTTGACTTTCACTACTGGTGCCCGAGTGGCGGTAGAAGATCGATTTCGATTTGGTTATGCGTTTATTAAAACTTCAATCATTACAAAACTACTCAACAGTGATCATCATGAAACAGGTACAGAAGAAATACGATGGCACACGCTCGTACGCTCACTAGAGGGATGTACAGGGATGGTTGCAACTGTCTCCGCTGCTGCCGGCCGAGGAGGCACCGGAAGCGTCGGCTGAGCCTTGGGATGAACCACCGGACGATCCGAGCGATGCATTCAGAACCAAACTGGTGATGCCACCGACGACAGAAGCCACAATGTTACCGATGAAGCCGAACAGATCCGAGCCCTGTGGGAGAAATGGAGTCTAGCATTCTATGCAATCATTCCACAAACACACCAACCTTATGCTCGCCAGCTCCCTCCGCATCCGGGTCGCCCTTCCGTTTCGCTTCCTGCAGTCCGGAAAAGAACTTGTCGATGAAAAGCTTCGGTCTCAGTGGCAAGTCCTCATCGTCTGGGTCCTAACAGGAGCGGGAGAAAATCCCCATTAGAGGTGTAATTCAATCAATCCTAACATTTGAAGTCGACAGAATTTCACGCTTCCTACCACCCATCGCCACCACCGACCGTCACCGACCCAGCTGCATCTCCACCTCGGACGCAACGTGCGTTTAGAGCAATATCCAATTTCAGTATTGCCCTATTGCCTCAACGGCGCGCACAACCATAAACATACGCACTCATCAGACGATTACATGGTTTCATCATTTTATCGTAAAATTATATGCATCATGCATTTTTTTTTCGTCCGTGCTTTGTCTTCGTCTCGCAACGGTCGGTGTTTCGAGTTGGCCACTTTTCGATGCAATAGACTATCTTAGGCTCCGGCCAGCGTTTGAGAATGAGTTGGACCCGCTTGGCGTTTGTCGTAAATGTCAAATCACTGTGGACGCAACTCAGTTTAGGTGATATATGGCAGGAATCGTAAAACACTACCAGGCCGCTTTAAGTGTCGAGTTGGCACTTTAATAAACGAAAATTGTAAATCAGAACGAGATTTATGACTTACAGAACTCAGTGACGCAATGACGGATCCCAAAAAGTTTCCAAAGAAGGCTCCGTTGTTGTCCTAGAAATAAAAAAAAAAAATCAATGACCTCAGCTAATTGCAAGCCGCCTGTACTAAGTGAGATCAAAGCTGGAAATTCTTACAGCGCCTCCGCCGGAGAAACCCTCGATGGCAATACCTACGTAGCTTCCCAACACTTTGCCAAAGTTTTCGTCTCCCTAGAAATAATAAACAGTTCACTTCAATCGTCGTGATTAGCTGCGATCATGTGACGCTACAAACCCCAAGCAGTCCCGCAAGCAATCCGGCTCCCGTACCCAGCAATCCGGGCACGTCCAGACCACCCGGCTGAAAGAAAACCCATCATCAATTTGATCCTTCTAATTGCCCAAAACCCGCATCAACACTTACCCCAAAAAGATTGGTAACCGCAGCCGACAGAGCCCCAACCAGTGCTCCAACATCCGATCCCTCGTCACCGCCACTCAAGTTGGCAATCAATCCCACCAACCCACCGGGTGCCTCTTCCTCCGATTCCGATTCGGACTCGTCTCCATCTCCACCCAGCGTAACCGAAATCCCATTTTCATTGCTATCCTTCCCCTTTTCATCATTCCCACCTGCCTCCTTCTCATCATCATCATCATCATCCTGCCTCCTTCGGAACAACACATCAATGTGGTTCTCCAGATCTCTCTGGACCAGCGTTTCGTAGAAGCTGTAGTCCGGCATCCGGTTGGTACCACCCATGGTGATCTTCGCCTTCACAGCTTCCGTGTTCACCTGATCCATGGTGTGAAGGGCATCGTGACTTTCCAGGAACTGGACCGTTTCCTTGATCTTGGTTGACAGGCTCCGACGCATCTGGTTGATGTGCCTGTTGACCTCCCGTTTGATGAGCTTCAGGTCGTAGTCCGATTGGTTGACATTGATCGTGCCGGGGTTTTTGCGCAGCAACGGCAGGGTGGCACTGGCCGATTGTTTCTCGCGCTGGAATGAATCGGGAAGGAGGATTAAGGGGAAGTTAGAGAAGGTACACACCAAAAATTGGTCAAATCCATCGAGCTAATATTTTGTTTTCAAGAGATCGCAGAAATTTAATTTTGATCGAAAAATTAAACTTAAGGGAAAGGGGACGCCATTATTTTTAGGAAATTCAACAGCAGTGTTTTCATTTAAAACCGTAATTCTGTTATTGAAAATATGTTTACTGTGATTCCGGTAGGCAAGAAGAATGCAATGAATTCTGCATGAATTCTGCATGAATCTGAATTTGTTTTTGAACGACATTTTTATTTTTAATTTTTGAAAATTCATGACGTCTCCTTTCACCTTAAGATTCAGTACACAATGCCTATTGTTATTGCACAAATCACATAAAAAATCCGCAAAACTCTTAAACTTACCAACGCCAATATTCTAATTATTATTTACTATTGAACTATAAAACTAAAAACAATAAACGCTTCCGCTACATATTTTTAAGCGATAAACTTCTTAGAGCAATTGGTTTTATGCTTATGAAACATTACGAGGCCGGCTAATTAAATCTTATTCAATCTTTACCAATGTATATCGCATTTATTCTCAATATTAGATAAAGCGTATCGAAACTCGATTGGAGGGACGGGTACGTAAAAGAAATAATATTAGAGTTTAAGGGAAGACGTGTTGATCAGAAATCTATAACAAACCCTTCTCAAGAGTAGTTGTTATCGTAGGAACAGCACGTTGAACAGGAATTTGGTTGTAATTTTTTGTAAATTAAGGAGTTTGGTGGCCTTGTGGCGACCGATTTTGCTTACTGAGCAGAACATCATGGTTTCAATCGCAAGCTCCTCACATTATACAGTTATACTTTAAAACGACTTTCTTTCATAATATATATATATATGATATAAAGCGAAATGAAATTCGATTGGAGGGATGGGTACGTAAAAGAAGTAATATTTGAGTTTTAGGAAAAACGTGTTGATTGGAAATCCAAATAAAATCAAGAGCAGTTGTTGTTGTCATCGGTGAGGTCGCCGCCGGGGTCGAAACCCAATAACAACAAGCTGAACTAAAACATGATCGTAATTGTTTTGTTATATAATGAGCTCGGTGGCCTAGTGGTAACCGATTTTGCTTACTGGACAAAAGACCGTGGCTTCAAACCCAAGCTCTTTGCGATATTGAATCGGTAGGACATCAATTCAGCATATCGTTTACCAAAACGATTCCTGCTGCAATCACAATCCTTTTATGCAACAGTCCAGTGACTTTTCATGGAAGTGCAGAGGTGTTCTTGGCTTTTATTAAAGCGAGTATTGCGCCAGCATATTCCTACCCATTCCTTTCTTGACCAGCATTTGGCCGTGGTCGGCGCGAGGGTTGCCTAGATTTAGATCACTAATTTTAACACATTGAGGATGATTGCTAGTCCCAAGCAATGTGTAATTACAGCTGATCTGGCAATAACGGAGTTGCATCCTCGGACAGCCAATCATGCTCATGTGTATGCTTATGAAAATGGTATTTTTCAATATGAATTCTTTTCTCCGTTAGGTTTCTTTTTATTGGTTTCCAACATTGTTTTTTTTTTTGGTTTCAACGTCAGGCGAATCCTGTTGAATTATTTTCACGTTTTGTTCATATTACTTTTTGTCTTTTTCAGCCTTCTGTCCTTCATTTATTTCATAATTTGACCTTTTGCACATTAAAACCTTCTATACATTCGAGGTTCATCCCATTTCATGACTTATTGTCATTTACAACTTTTGATCCATTTCGAACTTTGGTCCATTCAGGAACCTGACGTTTGTTTTTTTCCGTAGAGTTTTTTTTTATCTATAATCGGTTGCTGATCTGGCCAAAAGCAGGCCCAGGAGACAATTTATAGTTCCTTAGTGAGTTCACTAAGACAGAAAAAGCCCTGCGAGAGCTGCATATCGTTGTATCTAGTTCTACGCCCCTGTCCTGTTGAGAAGCTGTTCCGAAGACAAGTAGAACCTCCATGAGGCGTTCCATTATTCGTCCCAACATTAGTTCCATCAGTCGCAGCGTTGAACCTGACCATTGGCCACGAAAGGCTTGCCAATGCACATCAAAAATCGACTACATACATCCGAACATTTGTTTATCTCAAATCGAAGACCGGACTAGTTCATGTTGATCTTCGTCAAGCTTCGTCTACAATTTGGACTCCTACATCAACACATGTCAAGCAGCCTTCAGGTTCAATTGGCTTCCATTTTGTAAATTTTAATCCTTTCAAACCAGTAACGTTGGGAGATCACCTTTTTGTGGTGCGTTACTGGTATAAGATCTACCACCGAACCCTAGTCATGACAATTTCAAACTAGCAAATCCATTTCAGTTATCAAAGGTCCACATTTTAGTACTTGTTACTTTTTATGACTTGATCATAGTGACAAGACTCGGGTAGTGACCACTGCCGTTATGCATTTCTATATTGTATATTTCAAATCAAAAATATTGTTTATGTTCATAAATTTCACATAATCCATTGCCCTTTGTCCTTCTCCTTTTCAGTTCCCTCTTCTCTTTTCAGAAAGCGAGTAATGGCGCTATAGCCATAAGTCATAAAAGGCTAGGACAAGAGTTAGTGCTCATGCCCCAACCGTCAGAAGAAAATGAAGCATCACTTAACCTTTCTAGCTTTGATGCTTCCAACGATTAACCAATCATATAATTACCAAAATTGGAACGTACGGTACGAGATGTCCACGTTTCATCCATTTATTGGATTCTGAAAATCGAAGATTTAAACAGGCCCGATGTTTTCTGAATCAGCTTGCCCCTTAAATGCTGCACAGTAGGCCTGGCCGTTTTGATATGTGTGACGCATCTTCGATGGGAAACATATATCAAATAGACAAGAAAAATGATGTAAGTATATATATCATTTTCCAAAATGCTTTCAAGAACTGGCTGTGTTGGTGATGGTGTTAGATTAGATTAGATTAAATTAGATTTTGAACTTTGGTCCATTCAACCTTTTGGTCATTTGACCTTTTGTCCATTCGACTTATTTTCGTTCGTTCTGTTCTCATCGAGTCTCATTAGACAACATGGACACCCCTATTCGGCTGGAGGAATCTTCCAACTCTGTGCTGATCTTAAGACATCCGCGATCAACTACCAATTTCCTATTAAAATAGGTGCACAACTGTTTGCTTCGTTACGTTTACCCTCGTTTGATGTACCTTTGTTCTAGAGACTATGAACAAGGAATTTAAATACAAAAAATCGCTAAGTGGCTGTTCAGAAAACACGAGAATAGTTTTTAAGATATTTTGAATAATCATAATGGTGTCCGACCATTCCCTTTACATTCCCATTCCATTCCATTCCCATTCCATTTCCATTCCATTTCCATTCCATTTCCATTCCATTTCCATTCCATTTCCATTCCATTTCCATTCCATTTCCATTCCATTTCCATTCCATTTCCATTCCATTTCCATTCCATTTCCATTTTATTTCCATTCCATTTCCATTCCATTTCCATTCAATTTCCATTCAATTTCCATTCCATTTCCATTCCATTTCCATTCCATTTCCATTCCATTTCCATTCCATTTCCATTCCATTTCCATTCCATTTCCATTCCATTTCCATTCCATTTCCATTCAATTTCCATTCCATTTCCATTCCATTTCCATTCCATTTCCATTCCATTTCCATTCCATTTCCATTCCATTTCCATTCCATTTCCATTTTATTTCCATTCCATTTCCATTCCATTTCCATTCCATTTCCATTCAATTTCCATTCCATTTCCATTCCATTTCCATTCCATTTCCATTCCATTTCCATTCCATTTCCATTCCATTTCCATTCCATTTCCATGCCATTTCCATTCCATTTCCATTCCATTTCCATTCCATTTCCATTCCATTTCCATTCCATTTCCATTCCATTTCCATTCCATTTCCATTCCATTTCCATTCCATTTCCATTCCATTTCCATTCCATTTCCATTCCATTTCCATTCCATTTCCATTCCATTTCCATTCCATTTCCATTCCATTTCCATTCCATTTCCATTCCATTTCCATTCCATTTCCATTCCATTTCCATTCCATTTCCATTCCATTTCCATTCCATTTCCATTCCATTTCCATTCCATTTCCATTCCATTTCCATTCCATTTCCATTCCATTTCCATTCCATTTCCATTCCATTTCCATTTCATTTCCATTCCATTTCCATTCCATTTCCCATTCTTGGCGTACACAGTTTTGCTCACGAACTGCTCATTTGCTAATAACTTTGCACAGAGTTGACGAAACATAGTTCTGTTTGAAGCAGTCGGTAGAATAGAGTTTATGTTTCTTATAAAAAAGTAAAAAAAGGAGATTTTAATTCTAGTAATAAACTATGTTTGATTTTGCGTTGCAAAAATGAAGTGAGAAATGCTCGCTGCACATCTCGGACTTTATGTGTAAAAATTTATTGGTGTTGATTCAAATGATTAGATCTACCTACTCTTTGCATGTCAACAGTAAACTATGATCCTAATCTAGCAATTACTTTAAAAAAAGACTAAATTTCAACAACTGTGTGAAAAGTAATTAACAAATGAGCAGTTGGTGTGTACAACTGTGCATGCCAAGCATGCCATTTCCATTCCATTCCAAAATGAACAAAATGAAAATAATTTTAGCCATGCAAACAAATTTAGAAAAAAAAACTCTTAACAAATAATTTAAAATTTTAGAATTTGTGAATTAAAGAATTTAATTATTAAAAAAAATTAGAGTCGAAGAATTTTGGAGCATTAGAATTTTCGAGTCAAGGAATTTAATTTTTTTGCCTTTTAGAATTTAAGTATTAAAGAAGTTTTGAATCTTAGAACAAAATAAAAGCATTTACTGCTTTCGCCAGCGCCTCAAGATATTTCATTCGGGAACGGCGAATGGTTTGCTAATTTAAAGCGTAATCAGATGTGTGATTGCCTTCAATTATTGCTTCCAAAATCATAC